TTATTAATAATTAAATTAATATGTATTGCTATATTTTAATTCTGTTAAATTTCTATTCATCATCAATATTTGTATAAGCTATAAAATAAATATATTCTTGCTGTGGCAATTCGTATTTCTTTCTCTTATTCTATAAAACGCACTCAAAATGATTTCACAGTTGTTTTTCTGCTACCCCATTGTGGCCCTGCTGCTGTCCGGCAATTTGGCCAACCAAGTGAAAGCCACGTGACTAACATAAGTAAATACAGTTATAGCCAAGGCAATAGCCACAGCTCGAGTGCTTGAGCAATGTTTTGTTTGGCAAAAATCAAGATGTGTGCAGCATCCCAGCAGCAGCAAAAAAAAAAGAAAATAGAAAGGAAAACCCCTTTAGCTGCTGCCCAGTTAAGAGCGGCAGCAAAGCGTTGCCAACAAACGTTGTGGCTGTTAGTCAAGCCCTAAAAAATTTCGAATCGTATGTTTATCTTTGGCGTGGCCTTTGTCTAGCTAAAGTGGCGCTGTGTGTGTGTGTGTGTGTGTTTTGATCCTTTTTGCGCTGTTTTTGGGCTATAAATAAACGTTTAGCTGGTGCGGAAGCAACGGCGACAGCAACAGCAACAGCGCAGCAGTCTGTAGTACAGGCAGCAACACAACAAGATGACCCCAAGGGGAGGCTCAGGCGAGGGTGAGGCCAGCAGGTGTGTGGCAGGGGTACGCTTGTTTGTCTAGCGGCAGCACGTGCTGCTGCGGGCTGCGGTCAACACACGAATGTGTGTATGTGTGTGTGTGTGTGTGTTGTCACAGTTTTTGCACTGTTCGCCTGTTAACTAACTCCCATTAATAGCCACATAATCGAGGCTCAATTAACACGCCTTCTTGTCCCACACCCGCCCCCGCTCACTGGCTACATTGTGGCTTTTATTTAACATGCATTTATTAGAAATTTATTAGGGCATCGCATATTTTTCTACTCTGCACATTTTATGCAATTGCATAAAATTTTTATACTGGCGCCACTCGATTTCATAACTCACACAAAGTATCCACAGTGTCCTGGTGATGCGTGAAGGGTGAAGGGCATGAAGTCAACCTCCCTACTTACTCTGATTGCCATCGGTTGCTGCAAACCGCTGCGAACCTGTTGACCATTTGCATTTCATTAATATTATGGCTGCTCCTTTGTAAGCATTTTACTGCCTCATTTAAATTCTAATTTTATGTCAGCGTTTATGYTTTTGTCGAAAGGCAAAATACACACACACACACAGGCACACTCACATGCACACACACTAACATGTATTGCTTTATAAAGTTCATCTATCTATTTTTATAGATATTTCTCTGTGGATTTTCCGCCATGCATATTAAGTATACTCATAATTGTCACAGACAAAATCTACTTAAGATTGTCATTGAGATAGAGCTCTTTCGGCATTTACTTAACTTATTTGTTTCGTGTGCCAAATGCCCAAGTAATCCAATCCTGGGCTTCGTGCTCTTAGGTGGATAATATTTCTGTTTATTTATTTTTTAGTGGCCGTACAAATAGTTTGGCTTGAAAATTGTGTATTTGATTTTTTAAATGTACTCAATTTATTGTAATATAATTTTTTACTGTACTGTGAATTGTTTCTGCAGCGATTCAAGCTCATTAATATCATAAAAATCAAGATAGCAGCTCATTAGCCTGGATTTATAAAACATATACAGAAATCAATTTAATTTATAATTTTAAAAGCTATCTAAAATATAAAAGTTTAACATTAAAATGTCAAGAGATATCTTAAAAAACAATACGCACATGTGAAATGCAAAGGTTATGAAAGTCCCAAATCAGTTTCTTAAATACTCTTAAATCACAGAGTTCTCTAAAATGGAAAATCTGAAAAATCTATATTAAGTGCCTGAAAACCTAAATATATTAATTGAATTTATAAATCATACTAATATTAAATTTTACAAAATTAGAATCTATAATATTTTATGAATCTAATGACTAAAAAAAAAAAAATAAATATTGAAAAATATTTAAAAATGCAAAAATCCTAACAATTTAAAAATTTTATTTTGTAAAATCTAATGAATATAAAAATATTATAATATCATATAAATCAATGAGAAAAGAGTATTGAAATTAAGTATATGCCACACTTCAATCAGCTTGACCAAGCAATTTATTTACAATGTAAAAATGATATAGTGAAGGAATATTAATTTTTATAAGAGCTAAACGTGTCTTAATTGTTTATAGTATGGTTTATTGCAACATTATTTAAAGATTCGGGGGCCGTTTGCTCGTTTCTAATTCGTTTCCCCTGACCGGCAGATGCTGTCATAAATTTTCTATGCTCAGCGAAAGATTTTTGCGCGGTTAAAAAAGTGAGCTGCACATGTAAAAAGCAGAATTCTGAAAATTTAGCTTTTCTTTGCGTACTCAGAATGAGAAGAGGAAAATGCTGATAGCAGAGAGCGAAGAGAGCAGAACGCAGCATGAGAACCGAACATGCAGCAGAGCACGACGCGACGCGGCAGCGACCGAAGCCAGACGATGGCCAAACGAGTTGCAGGTGCCGTGGAGGGGGAGGAGGCGAATTCGCTTGGAGCGCAGCCAGTTGGAATTGCACGCGACAAAGGCGCAGCATGTATGAGAGGGGCCGGCGGGGCAGGGCAGGCGATACGTTGTCTGTGGTAGGCGGCGACGATGACGACACAAAAAGGCAGCAGCGACGACAACGGCAGCAGCAACGGCAACGGCAACGGCAACGGCAACGACAACGACAACGTCGACTGCTGCCGGCTGAGGGCTGCTGCTGCTGCTGCTGGCTGACTGCGAGCAGTCGTCAGTCAGTTGGCCAAGAAACTGGTAGCGTCGGTGTTGCGAGCCAACAAAAGGCTGGCAGCTGGCAGCTGGGCAGCTGGCACAGTCACCGGCTCTGCCAGTGCCACGAATGTTGTGTGTGTTGTCTGTTGGCCATAGGGCACGGGGCAGTGCTTTGGATTGGCTTTGGCTTTGACTTTTGAGCGACGCGTAGCCAGCCAAGAAAAGTGGCCAGCCAACCAGTCAGTCAGCCAGCCAGCCACCGAGCCACCGAGCCAGCGAATCAGCCAGCCAACAACAGCAATTACTGGCCAAGAGGTGGTGATGGTAAAGGTCCAAGATGATGATGAGTACGCGCCAACAGACGTTGCCAAAGCAGTGCAGGATGACAGTGAAGGAATATATTTTTTGGCCGCAAACGCAGTTTGATTAGCCAACTCAAACAGTGGTTTGACCCTGGCCAAGATCGCCGCAATGGACGCCAATTGACAGGCACACACTCGTACACACACACACACACACTCCACGTACACACACACGGATTGGCACAGTGGTGCAGTGGAGCAGCAGCAACAAGAGCAGCAGCAGCTTCGCAGGATGCGTTCGTCTCGATTATACAGCTTAAAAAAAAAAAAAACAATAACAACAACAAAAACAAAAAACGTGTCGCGCCGCAGCAACAACAACCAAACGCGCTGTGCTTATACGTGTGTTTGTGTGCGTGCGTATGTGTGTGTGTGTGTGTGTGTGAGAACCTTTTGAGCTGACCAACGTGCGCCGTCAACTTTGTGGCCAGTGCCAAAAACCGAGGTGCGCCAATGGAGCAACTGGCGTGAAGCCCAGAAAAAAGAAGTGCAGAGCCAGCAGCAACAGCAGCAACAGCAGCAACAGCAGCAACAGCAGCAGCAGCAGCAGCAACAATTGCTGCTACAACAACAGCAAGCTTTGTTTTAGCTGGCCGCTAATGATTTGCGATGTCAGCGATGTCCGCAATGAAATTTGGCGCAAACCAAACGCGTGCGAAACCTCAAAGGATGCGCATCACGCGCAGAGGTAGCTACGAATATCAAGCATACGCCGCGTGTAACTCAAAAACTTCAAATACTACAAATATTCAATATTCAACTCTTACGTAGTGACTAGTGCTTCAACTTATTAACTATATTTCAAATATTAAACACTAAAATTAAAATAAAATAATCAATATCAAAAATATATAGTAGCCAACGTAGTGTCAAGTACTTCTATGCCAATTATATAATCAATTACAAGCGACTATGATATAATCCAACACAATTACATAAACATTAGTGCAATATCTATACATAAATAATTAATCGTTATGTATATATTTATACATACAATTAWTATTGGTACTAATTGGTAACTGACAGCACTCGTAGACAATTTATATATAAATCAATGAAATTATCTGCGTGGCTCTTGTGCATCGCTGCGAGAGGATTCGTTCAAAGCAACAGCAGGAAGGGGAGCAGCAGTAGCTGGAGGATAACTGAGTTCTTCATTGAGTGCCAAAATGGTAGGTACATGATATAAATATATATATATATGATATATAAAGCCTAAAATATTTGGTAAATAGATATATAGGATATTAAAATATGTATCATAAATAGGGAGCCGCAGAAATGGCTCTTCAAATTTGCTTGTTGAAGTCAAGATCTCTATAGATATACTCAGATAGGACTCAACTGATTCGACTGTTATTTCTGATTAATTATTTATACATACGACCACGATTCGTTTTACTTATATTTCATTTCTTCAACTCTGCTTGTTTGTCTTGCTTTAGCCTAATATATTTTCTGTATACAAATACAACTTTTATTGCTCAGTTGCTCTGCTCAAAATATAATTAAATTTATTTGTTTCATTAAAAACACGTGCTGAATGCTTGTTGCCTTTATTTTATTGGATGCTTAAGCCGAATTAATGATCTTTACTTAAACTAAAGTATTTTCTTGAAATTATTGAGCAATTTGTTTTATATAAAAAATATTTAAGTACTACTACATTTTAAGTACTACTACTACTATGTGTAAGTAGAGTCTTGAAATACTTGTTCAAAATTAAAGAAAAATCAGATTTATTTTGATTTTATTGAGGAACATTCATATGTAATAAAAACAAAAAAGATGGAATTAAAAGCATTCGAATTTTTAAATTTAGATTTAGATTTTTTGTTAAATACACTATTAAAAACTCTTAAGCTATTGAAAGCCTATCATAGTAAGTCAACATAGTATAGACGCCCTTTACGCTTGCAGCTGTCACCACAATAAGATCAGCCCACAAATGTCCTTAGAGTGCTACCCTGCATCAGCCCTCCATTCGCATCTAAGCCAAGTTGGCAAGTGGCAAAAGCCAACAGTCTGGCGCCACATAAATAAGCAAAATGCAGCACAAAATGACATGTTAAATGCGTCATATGGCAAGAGGGGGGACACCGGCTGGTGGGGTAGGCGTAAGAGTTACGCCTAAGACATACAATTTATAGGCTCTGCACAAAGCACGCCCGCCCAGTGGATGCTCAAGGCCGCTGCTCGTGAGAGTGAGTGAGAGATAGAGACAGAGTATTAGACATAGGTTTCACCCTTGCCTAATAGCTACACTTAACCACTGTGGTGCTGGTTCAGTGCACAGACGCCGCCACCGAGTGCACAGACATAAAAAATTATTATATATGGTCCAGAACCCCAACAAGTGCCTCCCAAAGAGTACCAAAATTGTAACCCTATGCCAAATGGGACTCCACGTGAAAGTCATTAATTCATGGTCAGTGTTCAACAAAGGAAACATCTAAAGAGTAAATCAAATGCAGACCAATTAATATTTTTAAATACTCGAACATGCGCTTGTTTTTCAATTTTTAATGTTTGAATTTATGAGCGCAACTGCGGATCACTTTCAATTAGAAACGGACTGAAAAACTTGTACATGTCTTAGATACCCTGTAAATATGACAAAAGAGTTGTTTGCATTTTCATATAAAGGCTGAAGGTCTGAAGGTATTTGGCGTGATAAGAAAATATAATACTAAATTATTGCTGTTATCGATAATGTCGTAGTATTCAATCGTATATTTTATCGATCAATTTGTCAATCTAACAAAATATGCAGTTTTTATTATATTATTATTATCTAGGATATATGTATGTGTTTATGGTGTACATCTCACATATATCCATAAAACTCACTTATGATATTTCAAATCAACTTGTGAACATTCCAAGGTATCTGCTCGTCGAGCATTCCACGTCGTTACTTGCATTGCTCTGTCTAGAAATTTCCGAGCCATTAAAGCAATTAACAACAGCGGACTGCACTCAGTAAATTAGCCCAAAGGAGCTGTTGGAGCTAAAAGTTCCTCAAAACTAACACGAAATTTAATTGTGCGCGCGATATGCAAAAAGGACATCGGCAGGACAAACGAAATGCGGCGGGCAGGAGTTTGGACAGTTCGTTTCTTAATGCTTGCGCATTAATTTTCGATTTTTTTCACAATTCTTTTTCGCTATTTTTTTTGGCAGTAGTTGAACGTATTTTTCTTCTTTTTTTTGCGTTAGCTGTTGGCATTCGCTGAAAAGGAATTTGTTGACACCAACAATGTTTCGGACATCCTGGCAAATAATTCTTGGCCCCGTCTGCTCCACGCACCCACCCCACACCTCAAACCCCACCCCGCCCGGCATTAGCCGGAAATTGGCAACTAAGCCAAGCAGCGAGCGCATTGTGTCCTTTCCTCTTGACTGCCTGCATATGTTTGCCTTGCAGTCTTCGGCTAGCAAACAATGGCTGCTGGTCAGCCCCGGCAAGAGTTCACACTTCCTTTTGCCAGTCCTTATCATTTAAGCCAACAAAAAAAGGGGAAAAAAAAAACAAAGGAGAGATACTGGCCCGTTTGCATTTGAGCACGTTTCAATGAACGGCCCAGAGATTTATGGCCCGCATTGATTTTATTGATGGCAGCCGGTCGCATTTTTAAATAAATCGAAGGCAACGCGCGACGACAAGCAATTAAAACTAATTGAATCGCCCGAGAAAAAAAGAAATGCCTCAAAGAACATGCAAAGTGACAAATAGTTGTAAATAAACGACTCCTCTGCGAATGGCCAACTGAATACAACTAAAGCGCATTTCAGGTTTATTCTGCTCAGGCAGGTTTTATGTAAATTTCTGCCCTGTCTGTGAACGGGTTGAAAGGGCAAAGCTTGAAGAGAAAACGTAATCAAAAGTTCTTTGTCTATTTAAATGTAAACTAAGGGTTATGCTTAGGAATCGAATATAAATCATTGAATGATTTCGTAGATCTGCAAAAGCGTTATAATAAAGCTAGAAATAGCTAGAAATAATCAGTTCCTTATATTAATAGTAGCTATGGAAGAAGCTTTATCTCTGGGAATCTGCCAGAAGGACTATTTAAATTAGTTTTATATCTATATAGAATATGGATTTTTTTTGTGATATACAAAATAAGTATAGATAAAATATATAGACAACTATATGAGAATTGTGGTAGTAATACAAATGAAATAAAAATATGAGTATAGATAGATAGAAAAAGAGTTTAGAAATGACAAAAATAGATCAGATTATTTGGTATTCCGTATAGTCATCCTTATGTGTCTACACTTAGCTATAGATGAATCATATTAAGTATAAATGCAATATTGCTTATCTACCAAAATAAAACCTGAGCACTTTATCAGTTACTAAGGAAACGTAAACTTAATATAAAACTTGCATGTATTTATCATTTCTAATTGTTATGTATCTATTCTAATGTCTTATCTGCATAATCGAATTTCCGATGCATCAATAATATTTGAATTTCGTTCTAATTCGCAAATACTTAAAGCTCCTCATTGCTTTTGACTGATATGCAATTGCCGTAGCCCCGGCCTCGTCATCAAAGCCAGCAAGTGCCATTCGCATTGTCTGTTGAAATTATGTTCTGGGTGCAAAAGTCAGTTGCCATAATTTTCGTTGGCGTAGACATGGCAAATAAAACAAACAAACAAATAAATCGCCAAATTATTATTTGGTCCTATGCCTCCTGTCTCTTATCCTGCCTCCAGTCTTCTGTCTGCTGTCGCCTTTGGCTTCAGCCTTCAGCCTGCCTGCCATCCGAAATAATTTTTATGCGGCGCTTCAGTAAAACTTTGTCTGCTGCGCTGCCATTGTCCAGTCATAATGATTTACTCGATTTGCATATTTTTGCACTTAGAAAAATGCACAAACGATTTTTCATTTTCTTGAAAACTTATTAGTGCGGCGCGGCGAGCCTTTGATGACCAAAAAGGGAACTTGACTTTGGTTTTCTATATTTTTACAAAAAAATTTTGTTTTTCTCCTATTTTGATAATTTTTTCCTTTATTTTTGTATAATGACGACGATACTTGGTTATCTATTTGTTATGCATGAGTTTGGTGGCTGCCATGGCGTATACATAATTTGAGGCTAACATTGCGTATACGCCCTGCTGTCGCATCCATCTAGCACGCTCCGTCTGCAATGTGCAGCGCCTACAAGTCTGCTGCAGCAATTTTCTTGGTACAGCTCCAAGACATTCTCACTTCCTGCTCAGCAAATTTGGCACACATTGCCAGCCAGCAACTGGAAGACAGCAGCAGCAGCAGCAGCAACAAAACATAAACATAGACGCAGCTGCGTCTGCCTGCCAACTTGGCAGCAGCGCATCCTGTGTGTGAGTGTGTGTGTGTGGAATGTGAGAGGCTCGCGTCGAGTTGGCCGCTGGCCACTCTCATTATGATTTTAATTGCTGGCACACACACACACACACACACATAGTTGGTAGCTTTTTGACGAGTTGCCCAGTTTGACAACGTCATCAGTTGTTGTTGTTGTGCCTGATCGTTTATTGGCCAACGGCATTTGGCTTTGGCAACAGGTTTCCAATTATCATGATTATGATTATAAGTATTTGCTAAATATGTATATACATACATATAARTGTATTTATATAAATATATATTTATATGTAATGACGCTTTGATTGGTTCGACCTTGACCAAGAGAAAATTGTTGGCCATCGTCAGCGACTTGTAAAATTTATTGGCCAATATTCAGGCAAATTTTATGTTTTTGGCTTGCAAATGCTCACTGTTCGCTGTCCGCCTTTTTGGCAGCAGTTAATATTTAAGTTTTATTTGCCAATTTCCTCAGAATTTGCTCTTTGTTATTGTTGTTGTTAGTTGTGGTTGTTGTTTTTATTGTTTTTCGCATTTGTTTATTTGTTTTGATTGACATTCGTTTGCCTCAGTTGTTGACGCGTCGTCGTTGGTGAAAGTTGCCGTGCCGCTAAAGTTCCGTTAGCCTAACTGGAGCTTACCTCAGGCCTCAGTGTGCCACAGCTGCAAACTAACACACACACACACACACATATACACACTCAATGTGTCTGTCAACCAATAAACAAAACTTTAAAACCATTTGCTTGACATACAATCATTTTTATTTTTGTGTTTTGTATTTTTTTTCTTTTTTTGCTTTTGTGTTTCTAGTACATTTTAGTTTCGCGTAAAAATATCTGCAAAAACTAATTAATTAAATAGGAAGATAATGGCTTAAGTGCTATAAGTGCATCTATATTCAGTGTAAACTAATTAATGCGATTAATCATATTCTGAGAAATGTCTAAGAATAGTTTTGTGCTCTTTGTAGTTAAATGGCATACTTATAAAAATAATCAAAAGTCTCTGATGTTTGCCTTATTTATTTTGTTTTTCTTTTTCATTTGTTTATATACGTAAAATTGTGTAAAGTTCATAAAAAATGTATTATTTAATATTTTTTATACAAAAAAAAGTTGTTTTTTTTTTTTTAATTTAAATTTTAAGTAATTATTTATTGAAGAAAGTAAATGAATTATTCATTAAGGAAATTTATATTATAGAGCTGTCAGAGGATAAATTAAGAAAAGGTTAAGATTTATAAATATTAAATATTTTATATTAACAGTTGACATGAAAAAATCATTTTCGTTTTTTATGATATTCTCATATAAAGAATTATAGGAATTGTTAAAAGAATTGATTTTTACATAAAAATCTGCTCATTGGACAATGGCAAATCGACTCTGGCAACAATTTATAGACAAGTATGTATTCTATTTTACATACTTGTCCTTTAACTAATTCAATAAGAAAACTAAAGCAATTCATTATTCATTTAATTAAGTTGCTTAGCTAAATGTATGTATATATACCGTATATAAATGTTGTAGTTTTTTTTCTTTTTCTTGTATCTATTTAATGAACAACTCTCGTATTTTCGAGTGACAGTTTCTGTCTTACTGCATCGCATTGGCGTCTTCAAGGTGTACGAGCAAAATGAGAAAAAATCTAATTAAAACTAAGAAAAACTAGCACTAATTACAATTTGTGCTGCCGTCGCCATCGTCGCTGTCGCCCTATAGACAGCATACATAGGATCGGAGGCAAAAAACAAAATACAAATATACCAAACTAACAAAATGATGAAGCACTGAAATAGATTAGGCGAAAATATACAGACAACTGCACGTTTGCTCTAACTGTATAATCTTTGTCTCTACATCTCTATATGTATTTATGCATATATATATATATATCTATATGTATATATACATTTGTATATGTGTCTGTGTCCGTTTCTCTATGTGATATACAAAAATAGAAGCGACGGCGACGATAGTCGCGCGTTTTCAACGCGTCTTTGCCCGCGTCAATTGCGCGTCATCGCCTCGCTGCGCCGCGGCTCGCCTGCCTTGCCTTGCCTTGTGGATAGAAGATCGGTCGGGCAGTATATAGCATCAGGAGCGGTCCAAATACTATTTATATAGAAAAGATATATTGGGTATATATGCGGGCATTTACCACTTATGTGGTATATAAGGGCCTTCTGGCGACAGTTCTGCGCAATTTTTTTTTCTGCTCGAATTTTGTTTCTGCCTTTCGCTTGTCGATCTTTAGAACCCGTCAAGTGTGTCCGAAAATAGCTAGATAAATGAGAAATCTACAAACAAATAAGAAATTCGAAAATCAACCAAAATACATAAAAGTAAAACAAAGAGCAAAGAAAATCAACCAAGAAAATTGGGAAAACAAAAAATCCGCTTTCAGCTGCGGAGCAAAATAAATAAAAGCAAATTTGCAGCGACGAAAAATAGTTGAAAAAATATACAAAAATCCAAATTTGTTTAAAACGTCAAAGAATGGGGCACTTTTTGCGTCGTCCGTGAAACATGCTACATATATAGACCACAGAACCTAAACGAATTTATGCGCAAAAAAAATATTTATATATACATATATATAGCACATATATATATAAGACAAAAATGCGAAACGTGCGGCATTTTCATTAAATAAAATTGTCTGGGTTTTATTAATAATTATCAAATGTTAAATAAATGTAAAGCAAATGGTTTTCCATTTTAATGACTGGATGAATTTTTAAAAATATTTAAGAAAAACAAAAATTGTTTCTGTTTTTCTTATAAGAAATTAATATTTTACGGCATTATACTGTCTAACTATAATTAACTAACTATTTTATTTTCTTATTATAATTATTAAATTAACAAAATTAAACGATCCGTATATTATGACAATTTATATAATAGTTCATATAACAGTTACTGTAACAGCTGATATTACAGTTCATATAACAGTTCATAAACAAATCACTTAACAGCACATATAACAATTCATATAGCAGTTATATTTTGTAGCACATAAAGATGATTTGGTATGAAATTCAATTCAAAATGATATAACAGCTGTTAATACTTGCAATATTTTGTCATACGAGCATATGAAAGTTTGATAAATGAGCGTTTAAGTAAACATTAATTTAACACAGAATTATTATAGTAGTATTTGAGAAGTATGTACCAAAAGTTCATAAACATACATATTAATATTTTCTGAAGTCTCTAGAGCCTGAATGAGTTATATTAGCTGTAAAATTCCATTAAATTCACAAAGTATCACACGCTTTCATCAATCAAATCTGCTGTAAAACCTGTTCATATGCCACAACAGCTCACAAATGTTCGCACCTGATGTCAGCCATAGACTATAGACTTTTCCTTTGTGACTTGTCTTGCGTAATGCCCGAGAGACCGCCCAGCTAGCAAAGTTGTCTGTCATATTTGACACGCTGTTATTTTTAGCCAGCACTTTGCTTGCATGCGCATTCAGCGAATGAGTAATGTCTGTTAACTGTTAGTTGTCTATGCTACACTATATTAAATAATAATCGATCGTAAATCACAGGACTACATAGCGGAGCAGCTGTTCAATTGGCAATTAGGACTAAGTGTTGCCTTATCCCAGACTCAATAAATCAGATATAATGAAAATGTTGGAGGCGAGTGAGGCGAGGTGAGGCCTGGAATTGGTTTGGATATCTTGTGGTCTCAATTGGCAGCTGTTCAATAGCACAGTTCCGAGCTCCCACTCGTCAGCAGCCCTGACCTCAGTTAACTATACCCAGGCGAAGTCATTAAGTGTGCGTGTGTGTGCGTGTGAGAGTGTGTATGTGTGGGGAAGCCAAGATCGTCGGCCCAGTATTTGCTGGCAGACAGTTTGTCTGCTCATCCAGAAACTTATTGGCAAAACTCCATGATCATAAATTATGCAGTCCAAATTTGTTTACGCGCCAACGCGGCAGGTGGCGCTTTAATTACAGTGTAGAGGCATTCTCTATAGCTACACATATGTGTGTGTGTGTGCTTGGGGAAATCCCAGGACGGTTGCCAAGATTCCTCAGCAGTACGCAGCAAAATTACGCAACAACAGAACTTGAGAGTGAAAAAAGTTCATTGCCATTGAGATTCTTTGGAAGCGAGCGTGGGAAAATCTTTCGAGATTTTGGCAAGCTACCATCTTGGCAAGCGCCCATTCCCATCGTTGCGTATTGGCCTGAGAGATCCACATCCCTCAGGCCCCCACAATTGTCGCCCCTTGCCAAGCCAGTCGAGGGCTGAGAAGTCCAAAAGCCGTGACGTATTCGATGTGGCAATACCTTTGATGGGCGCGCTATATTGATTTATAAAAAGAGTCAATCTCTAAGAAAGTTAGAAATGAGTATGGTTTTATTTATTGGCTATTCTGAAATCTGTTGGACTAGCTTAATATTCAATAATCTTCTAGACTTCTAAGGAACACGATATTGTAGTTTATATATCACATTTGTAAAGAATTTTTTCCATTCTGTTTGATGAAAGTTGTATTATGTTATATTTAGTCTGTAAAAATAATGAAAACTATAGGTTTATAGTTTTTTAAGACTAAATACATATGAGAAAATATTATAGAAAAATATGACAATTTAGCTCGGCTTCAAATGATTATTAGAATTTCCTTTGCAATCACATATTATATTATGAAGCTCAACTTTTTGCATATGTTATGTATATGTATATGTTATACAACTAAAAAATGCATATAAAAAGTTATATATATTATTTATATTATATTTATCTTCTTCCATTAAATAAAGCCTTTACTTGCATGAAAACATTTCTATAGATCTCTGCTACTTCTACTCACATTCGACTACCTAACTAACTCACACTGGTTCTTTCTCTCTTTCTCTTTACAGCGCTGCGTTAAAGGAGCCTCGTTGACCAATTGGCGGCCGCGGCCGCTGCAGCCTGTCCTCGGTCTGACCAGCCAATGGCAGCGCAGCGGTTGAAAGTTCAAGTCGGCGGCAGGCAGAGCAATGCACTTGGCAAACGTTCAAAGCTGACAGCAATTGGCACACACACACACACACATGCATATATGCAGAAACACCACTGTGCACACATACACGCACACAAGCATTGTTTAAGACGAGAGAGAGAGAGGGAGCTGTGATTGCTGGGCTCACACGCGCATGAGGAAAACGTTGATAATAAATCACGCATACGCCTGTTGGCACAGCAAGAACTATGCTCCTTCGACTGTGCTTGTGTGTGTCCCTGTGTRAGTGAGTGAGTCTCAGTGTGTGTATGTGTGTGTGTCAAGACTTGCCCAGGCAGTTGGCCAACTGCATTGCGCTGCTCGTTTTTAGCCCGGCTCGAGCGAACGTTGGCCGCAAGACAATTGCACGAACGATGCCTTCTTTGCAGGCAACGCATTGGCCGGACGAAATGCGCCCGAACGACCAATCAGAGCGCAGCTTGTGCGCAACGCCCTTGGCCAAACAGAATTCGGCGCCAACTAGCACAGCGATGCCAGGACCCAGCGCCAAATAACATTTTGTATATATATATWATTCTTTTGATTTTAGTTTTTATCTCTCAGCTATTCTAAGTAAATTTGCCCGAAGCTTATGCCCATGCAATAACAGCTAGCGTGGGCGTGAAATAGCTTATCTACGAATATATGATATACGATATATATGTAGACTTACTTAAGAATTTCAAATATGATGATTGCAAAATGCGTAAGAAAAGAAAGATTAATAAAAACTTGTAAAGCTTCCGAGCGGCACGCAAAAAAAAAAAAAAAAAGAAAAACTAATTTTTTACTGTTTTACTGTTTATACTCTATTACATTGATCTACCAGTTCTAACTGTTGCCATGTAGTGTGCATGCCGCCAACTCAGGTTCTTGATTATTAGGAAGGCCTGCGTAATAAATACAGCCTGATTGACTGCGTGCAGGCTGTAGCTTTTGGGTATGATGGCGTGGGAATATCATGACCAGATCAGACCGTTCGCTACCAATGTGCTCGATTGATTGAGGGAAATATTTTGTGCCGGTCGTTGGAAGACATCAGCATGTCCAGTTCCTACAAGAAGCTACAGAACGAATGAGCTGTCAATTTAAATTGAGGAGAATACAAACGATTTATGCTTACTCACCCACTTGCCAAAGAAACCACAAAAGAAGGCTGTCTTCGGTCCTAGCAAATAATAAACATAAAACTCAACTGTTTCTAGCTCGATTTTCGTAGCTCATCTGCTGGTGACTTCCACAATTGGCGTATCTTCCGGGGTACAATGTGCTCAGTTGAATTGACCAGTCCATGGTATATAATTGAGATTTCCCGCACTTCGACACATGATCAACCGACTTGTATATACGAGTATGTATACATATGTATATATTTCTTTTTTTTTTTTTTAATTTTGAAAATGGTCTCCGAACTGTTTCGTATAGTTAATAATTCTGTAATGAATGAATAGGACTCAGCTACAGTTTTGACAGCTATTTGGGTTTTTAAATCAATATTTTCTTGCGCCATGCCCCAAAAAGTCCAGATGCATCGACCTTAATTTTTTGAATGGCGCATTTGTTATTTATTAATGTATGAAATGTTATCGATTATTATAACAGAATTAAAATAACCTTGCTATGAGCTGTCATGAAAACGAAGGATAGAACGTGGATGTTGATAAACAACTTGTTTCGAATTTTCGCTCCTCCATTTCAAATGCTTGGCGATTAAAAAGCCTTGGGTCAAAAATACAACCAAATTAACAGCCAACAAGCTGTAATTTTTGGGTATGATAACAACTGAATATCGGGACCAAATTAATCCAGTTGTGGCCAGCACACCCGACTGATTGAGCGACACATTTTGGGGTGGCCGTTTCACAAGATCTCCAATGCCAGCAAGTACCAACCCCTGAAAGGACACAAATATCCTAGCCGTACTTAAACGCAGTTTTGTTTAATCTTCACTTACCCATTTGCCAAGGGGGGCCCAGAAGAAAACAGTTTTCGGGCCTAATCGGTAAGAAATATTTAGAGAAAATGCTCGACTGTATTCAATGTACTACCACTAATTCTGGTTAGTGGTATTACGCACCTGCCGGGGATTCCCAGAAAGGTCGCATGGATTGCGGTACAACTACATCAACAGAATTAATGATGGCATTATACAGTTTTGAAAGGGGGCCTTTTCCTTTTGACATGGCGATGTTGATATATATGGAATTAGATATATATATATATATGTTTGATATTTGAAATTCACGCTTGACTAACTTATTAATTTTGAATTTTGATAAAAAGAAACATCCGATCTGCTGAATACAAAGCCATAACCCCTATTAAGTAATGTATATAATAGAACACTAATACATAGGTTACTAGTTGACACTTTCAAAACGGATAGTTTGTTCTGTTTTTATTAAAAAAAAAAAGCAGGTTTCCAAATGAAACGTCCAAGAAAATTAGCTTCAAAAACAAATTTAAAGCGCAGAAATGAGACCAGGAAACCGCCAAATTGAGCACTGCTAAGCAAATTGCGTAGAGGGTTAATAAGTGTTAGGTTCTATGGTCACACTGAATTCGAAACAGCTGTTTGTGTACGCAGCGTGTGAATGGTTAAACGTAAAGCTTGGAGTTAATTGATTAAATATATTTTGAGAATACAACAATAATTACAATTAATACACAAAACATATTAAGAACCGAGAATAGACGTTCTTTTGATTCATAAAATGGATTCAAATCGGGAAAGAAGTAAAATGATAAATCCAAGGAGACTAAAACGAATGCCAATTAATTTGCGCAAGAAAGCAATAAGAGAGGCACGGAACTTGGCGGGAATGCAACAGCCCACGAAAAGTCGAAGAAGACTTCGGAAGTCAACGTCCACTAAATCTCGATTACAAAACGATTTTGAGCGCGCTGAGCATAATGCAATGCTTACAGCAAGCTCAAACGAGTTGCAACAGATTCTGTCGGAGTTCGAGGAACTGGCGGACGTGCCCTACGATGCAACGCCGACTGAACTTTTGGGTCTGGTATGTGAATCTCCTTCGCACGATGCACGTTAGCAATTTCCTAGAGCAACCTACACACCTGACGTCACATTATTTGCGTACTTGTTAGCGCCACCGTTCTGCGCCTGAATAGCAACTCAATTAGCATGCTTCGTCACTTTCGTAGTGGGTTGACCTACTCCCGGTAGCAGCTGCTAATTGATGGATAGAATCATAAATGTTATGGCAGCTGATGCCGTTAAGTGTTGCCGTTAACTGCAATACGTATATATTTCATAATTTCAGATTGCTCAGGCAGAAAACCGTGCCACAACCGTCTACGTGCAGCGCGACGGCCTTAGCACACTCAAGATCATGGTGAGTTGTTGGTTCAAAACGAAATCCACTTTTCTGTTAACCTCGCAGCTGTTTGCACTCATTTGCCATTCAATTCATTATTTACATGTATATATAGTGTGCATGTGTGTGTTTGTGTGGTGCGTATCAATCAATTTGATTAATTTCTTAGTCGTTCAAAGTTCTATCTAGAAACTGGGGAAATTTTCGCTGTCTGTTTACACAGAATTATATTAACATAGGGCAGCCATCAATAGATTATTTAGAGCAAATAATCATAGCATACGCCAGTATAGCTCAACCCTGTAGTTTTGAATTCAATTAAATGATAAAACAAACTGTATACATGTACATATATTTCGTAATTTTTGATTGTCAACAAATTTCGTATGAATATCTCTTTGTTTATTTGTGTATTGTGAAGCCTTAAATGTTTATTTATTTATGTATTTTCTAGAAATATTTAATTAAACCAAGTCAGTAATAATTTAATATGTGGAAAGTTCTTTAAATTACCTGCTTTGATTTCGATATGCTATAAAAGTAAGTTTTCTAATTGTTTTCAATAAAACTTTTAGATTTCCTGTACTCTTAACCACACTCCACTAACTCTAAAATGCACATATGTTCTATTTGTTGATTCTCACTCTATCTCTCTCTCTCTCTCTCTATTTCTCTTTCTCTTCGCATTCTTTATGCATTTTAGCTCCATCAGCGCTCTCCGACTGTGGCCCAACTGAAAAAGGCAATCGCCACAATCTCGTGCGCACAGCTGAAACGAAGACAACGCGAGCGACGTCGGGTGGCAGACGAAGACGACGCCGGCCGGGCCGACGACGGTAGCCGACAACAGGTTGTGGGATCTGCTGGAGCCAAAGCTTTGCCTCGCTCCAGCGGCGAGTTAGTTAATTCGGCGCTGCGCAACGGGCACGAACACCGCGCGTTTGTCTCTTGGCGTTTTTTATGGCGCTGCTTTGCACTGTTTAACGTGGATACCAATCAGCCGATCGATGACAACGTTGACAACGGGCGCGCGACCCTAACGGCACTGGGCATTGAGAACGGGGCCAGGCTGAAGTTTGTGCATCGCGTCAAGTATTTCGGCCGCAAGCGGCAGAGCTAAGAACCCACACAAATACATATATCAAACTAAGAGTGCAAATTTACAAAATCATCCAATGAAAAGCAGCTTGAATCCTGTTAAAATCACAGCCATTAGAGATAATGGAACATAATGCACTACAACTATTTGGCATTTTGCTGATCTACACATTTGCGCAGCTCTGGGCAGCGCCCGCATTCGGGGATGGGAACAACAACAATGTCAAGATCACCAAACAGAGTCTGGAGCTCACTCAGACGATCAACATACAGCGTCAGGAGTATTTGCAGAGACAATGTGATCTACTGCGTGATGCCGACACACAGACAGTGGATGATCTTACAGACCTGCAAATGGATCATATGATTGTGGATAAGGAGCATAAACTGCTCTACTGCTACGTGCCAAAGGTACCCGCCACAAAGTTACTCAATTTTCTCTTATTTTTTTTTGTTTTGTTTTTTAATTATTTCGCAACGTTAGTTTTAAGTATAAAGTTGTTTTTGCTTTTTAAGCACATTTTGCAGAATTTTATATATTTATATATATATATATACCCTGTGCAAAGCAAAGGTAATGAGGTAGCATAGTTGTGTGCAAGTATGTAAAATAGGCTGATTTCATTGGCTGTGAATTTTTCTATGGGTAGTTGAGAATGCTGTCTCTTTCGGGACTTTAGACCTTTCTAATATATTCATTTGTAAAAGCTAGAATCATATAATTTGTAGTAAACACTATTTACGAATACTTTATTACTTATATGCCTATTTTACCGTAATATAGGGACTGTCGGCATTTAAATTAATTGAATTGTAGATTTGGTTCCTTACACCATGTACCTGCTAGTTACAGGGTATTTAGCTAGTCAAACACCCCGCAATTCGTATAATTTTGTTTATTTTTTTGCTGTTCTGTACGAACTGTCCGTTTCGCCATGTGCGGTTGAGCTCCCTTCCGCTTGCGGCTATTCGGCGCGTTGCGTGTTTAAACGACCCTTTGTCAAATGCCCCTCGTCTATACATAAAAACAAAATAAAAAGAAAACTTGTTTTAGATTTCTGTTACTCCACGTTTTCTCTTTTACGAACTTGCTGACATTTGATGCTTCGCCAGAGGCAGCGCCATAGCAACAATGTAGACCGGCCGCTAAGATTATATTCTTGCAAGTTGCAACATGGTATGTGGCATGTTGGTAATCGATTTCGATAGATGCTTGTTGCGCTTTCACCCGAGTAGTTTGACTAGACAACTAGACCACAAGTGGCACAACCTGATTGCTGGTATTAGCTCAAGTGTTTGTTGGAGCTTATCAGAAAACAATTTTATTAATCTTTGGCAGACAATTCAACGCCTATGCCCATCGGTAGAGGCCGATTTCGCTTAGATAACCTTCCATAAACCTCTGTGCAATTATAAATTATATAGTATTAAATATTTAATTATAATATATATACTATGCCTTGTAAATATTGCTTGACAGTGGGTCTATTTGGCACAGTAATTTATTAATAGGAAAATATATATGTATATATGAGAAATCAATCTATTGGAATTCTAAAAACGTGTGCAAGAAATTCATTTATAAATTTTCTGGAATTATATTTATATATAGTTCTATGAAAGTCGTGGAGTATTATAAAAAGGCGCACTCTTTGAGGCTTTAAATTGTTATATACATATGTTTATATATAAGCAGTATAGAATTTACGACAAAACTCATCTAATCTTGAGCTGTTTTTCTTTTCTAAGTCGAGTAGACCTCATAAAGAAAATGCGCTTCAGTCTAGGCTACAATTATGAGCCATGGCTTATAATTAAATGTTGAGTTGCAACCTGCACGATGAGCTTCTAAATAATATTCTATCTTCACACAGCTGCCTCATATGAGGAGTCTTAGACTAGTTGACTGTTTTGCAGATTATCAAACTTAGTTAAGAAGCGAATTTACTGACGTTCATTGCGGATTATCAAATAATTTGTCTTTTAGCTGGCTTATTAATTAAATTTCAAGTCAAATGGCGCGTTTGATAAGCAGCGGAATCTCGCCTGACTTAATTCAATTAATGAAAATTTAAAGAAATTGGAAATCTAAAAAAAAAAACAAAAACCCAAAAAAAAAAAAAAAAACTTCCTCTACCCCATCGCTGCTATCAAAACTTATTCTATAGCATTAGTCGAACTATTTGATTAGATTAGGCAGCCAAATATTAAATTGCTCACCTGTTCGAGGTGGGGCATATAAATAGCGACGTTGTTTCATGTGTTCACCGCACTTTGAACCTTCCCACAACATAATGAGCTTTATTTTGTGTGGAATAGCACTCAGATTGCGTTTGCCTGTCAATGGTTGAGTAATGCCGGCCATGACGTATGCCATTTGGTAGTGGCGCCACATATGAGCCACAGCACTGTAACCTATTTTGTTTATATTATAAATTTTATGGACTATAAATAAACATACCTAAATGTTATACTAATTGGCTGTATTAACAGCCTGCAAATGCCTGTTAAATGTAAGAGGAAGAGATTGAGCCGTATTTTTGTAGAATGTTTT